AAATCTTTTAAAAATCTGTTGATTTTTTTTTTGAATATGTTTAACATAAAAAATAAATTAATAACTTTAAAGATTTTTTAATTAATCTTAAAAAATCTGTCGAAAATACTCTTTTAACATTTAATGTATTGTTGTATTTTTAAGCTTTTTAATTGCCTAAATAATTCATATTTCGTTCTAAATTTACCACAAATCCAGTCAGATTTTATAAAAAAGAATATCTGTATAAAATTCAATTAAGTTAATCATGTTATTTTCTTATTTAATATTTGAGACTTGTGATCATGTAAGAACAAACTGTTTTCATCATACCTGTGAAATCATACAAATAACTATAAACCTTCACAACAGAACACTGTGAAGGTAAGCCTTTACAGTGTTTTTGTTGTGAATGTTTGATATTTTTTGTACATTTACGATGTTTTTTGTAAAGTTTCAAAATTATTTTGTGGTTTTACTGATTTTAAGGGTATCTTAAAAAATTAATCAATTATAATATTTTAAAATATAATTGAAACAAATATCTAATAATATAGTATATAAACTAATACAAACAAGATGGCAAAAAATATATTATGTTGATTAAAAAATTCCAAATTGATTATTATATATACTGTAATATTTGAATTTGTTAACACAAATTTAAAAAAAAAAACTATAAAATTTATGATTTTTTTAAATAACCATTATATAACAAGAAATAGAGAAATACTTAAAAACACAAAATGATCAAGAGAACACATTGCTCTTTCTTTCAACAGTCCACAAATACCTGCACACTCAAAATCTGTTACACATTTAAGGTAATCCGAGCAACCACCATCAATACAACAATAAAAGAACGAGCAAAATACTACTGAAAATGAGTATGGAGAAGCAAATGTGACCTACGTTATTGTGTCCATGAACCCTGGTGTTCCCGTAGATGGACTAAACCCTCCCGAGCCATGGAGATATTCCTATAGAGAATTGTTTCGACCATTAGAAGGCAAGATAATGTTAGTATGTAAGCAAGCTCAGACAATTTTGTGTCGTGGGGATGAAAACAGTCTTTCTAGCGATGAGAGAAGCGGTGTATGCCCAAATCAAGGCAAATCAGTTCAACGATTCAATTATTAAACTGTGTAAACAAACAAACATTTAGCCTGCTTATAAGGGTTTCAGTCTTTTTTATGTTTGTTAGTGGTAATGCAGTAATTGTTTACTTGGGTTTTTTGTCGTCTGATCGTTTTGCTTTTGGATAATTGCTCATAATGTAAAAAAGACAAATTAATATTCGACTCAAATAGTATATCTTTTTGCATTTTGAAAAGGAAAAAAAGGACAGGTATATACTATATGCGCATTTTATGTCAGAATCAAACAAATCAGTATTGAGAACGTAAAAAATGGATACTGATTTAATGTATGTAAGAAGAGAATTAGTACGCAGAGTCGTAGAGATACATTTAGCAATATATAAGAGTACATTTAGCCTAAAAACCCCTAAATGAAGAAAAGAAAAGGGAAACGGGTAGACTAAATGCACCTCTATATATTGCTAAATAGATTCATACACAGTAATTTGTTTCTCATATATATAATAACAAAAATCAATTTTACATTTTTAATGTATGATTTAATCTGATTTTAACAGTAAATGGTTGTTTGTTTACCTCTTAACAGTTTCATTATGAGGCAATTTCTGAATCGTTAAAAGGTGAATCTTGTTTGGAAAAAAATTCTGCCTCTTAATATTTTTAAATTCCTCTGAATGATTTTGTATATTGAGTTTCCTTTAACCCTTCAACATCCTAATTTCATTGTAAACAATTATATTTCATATTACACTATATTATAAGAGCTTTTAATCATTCTGATCACTTAATCATTTTATACCAAAACATTTATACGACGGTTTATATAGCGGTCTAAAAAACCTTAAAAAAGAAAAAGAAAAATCTTTGACTTATAAAAAAGAATTCAGTCAAACAGCGACGTGAGTAGTCAAAACAGCTCATCCCTGTCATCTGTCTCCTCCCAAATCCCAACAAAACTCCCATCACATCTATGGCACTGCCAATAGCTTCACCTTTATCCTCTCTGCAACCTTCAAAACGAACCCTAGCAGCAACACCTACCATGAGATTACATCCTTTTTTTCTATTCATCATCACCACCACCACCATCCTAACCGGCGTTTCCGCCATGGAAGACGATATGCGGTGCCTTCAAGGTCTGAAAACCTCACTCACGGATACAAAAGGTAAGCTCAGCACATGGTCATTCAGCAACGACTCCGTCGCCTCATTATGCAAGCTCGTCGGAGTTTCGTGTTGGAACGAGAAAGAAAACCGGCTTATCTCTCTTCAACTCCCTGACTTCTCGCTCTCTGGCTCGTTACCGGAATCCCTACAGTTTTGTCGTTCTCTTCAGTCTCTCGATCTGTCTAAAAACGCAATCTCCGGTTCCATTCCACCTCAAATCTGTACGTGGTTGCCGTATTTAGTAACCCTAGATCTCTCCGGGAACTCCTTATCTGGAAGCATTCCGCCGGAGATTCAGAACTGCAAGTTCTTAAACAATCTTATTTTATCCGATAACAGTCTTTCCGGCGCCATTCCTTACCAGATCGGCCAGCTTGAGAGGCTTAAGAAGCTAGATATTTCTATCAACGATCTCTCCGGTTCGATTCCAGACGATTTATCGAGGTTCGGATCTGATTCCTTCATTGGAAACGATCGATTATGCGGTGAGCCGCTTAATTCTAAATGTGGGCGTTTGAATAACAAAAGTCTAGCCATAATTATAGCTGCAGGTGTTCTAGGGGCCGCTGCGTCTTTGTTTCTTGGGTTTGCGATCTGGTGGTGGTTTTTTCTGAGACCTGATCGGAAAACAAACAACGGTTACGGCGGCGATGGCAGCAGTGGTGAGGACCGGAGCAATTGGATTGATAGATTGAGAGCTTACAAGCTTGTTCAGGTGTCACTGTTTCAAAAACCTATCGTAAAAATCAAATTGAACGACATTTTGGCTGCTACTAACAATTTCAGCCACAACAATATCGAAATCACCACAAGAACAGGTGTTTGTTATCGAGCAATGTTGCAGGATGGATCTGTACTAGCAATAAAACGATTGAATGCATGTAAAATCAACGAGAAACAGTTTAGATCTGAGATGAACAGATTAGGGCAACTGAGACACCCCCATTTGGTGCCATTGTTAGGGTTTTGTGTTGTTGAAGATGAGAAGCTTTTGGTCTATAAACATATGCCAAATGGTAGCTTACATTCACTCCTGTATGGAAACACTACTAGCATCAATTTGGACTGGCCTTTTCGGCTCAGGGTTGGTATCGGTGCAGCCAGTGGGTTAGCCTGGCTACACCATGTCTGCGAACCACCTTACCTTCACCAAACCATAAGCTCGAATGTTGTTCTTGTGGATGATGATTTCGAGGCCAGAATCATCGATTTTGGTCTAGCTAGGCTTGTGGGTACTCGCGATTCCAACAATAGTTCCTTTGAGAATGGTGATTTGGGTGAGTTTGGTTATGTGGCTCCTGAGTACTCAAGCACCATGGTTGCTTCGATGAAAGGTGATGTTTATGGTTTTGGGGTTGTTCTTTTGGAACTAGTAACAGGCCAGAAGCCACTGGAAGTAAATAACGGAGAGGATGGAGGGTATAAAGGTCATCTGGTGGAGTGGGTTCATCGGCTTACAAGTTCAGGAAGAAGTAAGGATGCCATTGATAAATCCTTAAGAGGAAAAGGGCACGATGATGAGATTATGCAGTTTTTAAGGATCGCTTGTAGTTGTGTGATTTCTAGACCTAAAGAAAGGCCTTCAATGTTCAACGTTTATCAGTCTTTGAAAAGCTTGGCGGAAGCACACGGGTTTTCAGAAGACTTCAACGACATTCCTGTGAAATACGCAAAACAAGATCATCGCCATAGAGACTAGTGGTACATTCTACTTTCTAAACTACAAGATTTATGTTACTTGTTCTGTGTTTTACTGCCAATGTGCTTGATAATCTTTGGGTATCTTATCTCATTGTTTGTAGCATGATTTAAATTAGAAAAACTATCATACTGAAAGATGATATTGGTATTGATTTCATTGAGTTGCTTCCTGAATTGTATCTAGATTGGTGTGTTCTTTGATTTTTCTAGCAGTAAATCATTGTCCAAATTGTCTGCTTTCCAATAAGAACACACATGTGTAACAACCCATCCCACATGTGTGAGATCCCATATTGGTTTGGGAGGGGAACAAAGGGACTGGATTACCTCCTCTATTAGACACATTTTAAAACCGTGAGTCCAAATGTGGATAAAGCTAACAATATTTGGTACGGTTGGCCAGGGATGTTGCAAATGTATCAGAGCCGGGAACCAGTTGGGGTGCCAACAAGGATGTTGGGCTCTTTGAGGTGGGTGGTCCGGGTGGATTATGAGATCCCACATTGATTGGGGAGGGAAATAAAGATTGCCTTATAAGGAAATAGCTAGAAAGAAGTTCTTACCTATGTATAGTTGTATACTTTGGAAGAAGCTTGTGCAGTTTGGGAAGGGGTTTTGATCGATAAAAAAGAAGAATTTACTTGGACGAGTTGTTATTCCCCTTTTTGGTCTAGTTAATAGCTCAAGGCAACTAGAAAGTCGGTATATTTTGACCAATTCAAGGTGAAAATGGGGTTGACATTATATTCCTCTAAACGAGTTTTGAAACCATGCATCCAAGTATGGATAAAGCTGATAATATCTGGTAGGGTTGGCTGTGGATGTTACAACATGGATAAAAAAGTAGATTTGTCTGCTCCTTGTAAGCTTAAAGTTGTGGGCTACCCATAATTTCCAGATTTGAAGGTTATTGAGTCAACATGTTGATTGGACTATGGTGCATACTACAATTGTTATCATCAGGTGTTTTATTTAACATCTAGATATGCAACTTTAAGGAAACATTATTGATTCTCTATGTGACATTTGGTAAACCAACAGGAAATGTGCTGGGAGACCATTGTGAAAACCAAACCAAGAAAAGTAGTAATCAAGAATCTTGCCCAAAGTCTCTCCCTACATTATGAAACACATATTTGAGTAAAAATAGAATCAAAGTTAGGTGTTCACTTCATTTAGCTTTTGCTTCCTTTTTCAAAAGACCCAAAAGAACCAGAACCAGAAAAGTTGGAACTTATGTTGAACTTAAATGACATCATGTTGGTGACATCACCCATTTAATGCAACTGAGATTTGCAAGAGATTAAAGGGGTTTTGCTTAAGCTACAGAACAAGTTAGGAAGTGCAAAGTGCATAATTGTATAAGCTTTAATTAAACCCAGGATTGCTGAAGATTGCCGTGTGGTGGGGTGGGGTCAAGGGAGTCGCGCCCCTTGTGGTATGTACAAATAGCTGACGCTAAAGCTTATTTCAGCTTCAATATCTGCAGTATGTGTACAAATGGCCGACACTGAAGCTGATTTCAGCTTGAGCTTGGTGAGCTCTCATGATTATCCGGTAACCATCAGTAACGGCCAACAACTGCACAACTGTAAAAAGTATTTTTCGTCTCGTTTGTACGTAAGAAAAGAAAAGTATCTCTATGTTTACCTACCTAAAATCTAGAGTATGAATTTGGATTACTCTCAGTCAATTTCATGATACCCCATACAATTACCGGGTCGAAATATTACTTACAGAAAGTGTTCTGTACACAATCCAATTTCTATCCAAGCCCGTTTTCATTGATTCATCACCTAAACCCCAAATATCTAATACCTTATATGGAAACAATCTCTTTACTTCTTGAAGTAGAAGAATATCTTACCCTCCTCTGATCCCACTTCGCTTGTTTTATTTGTCAAGATGACAACTCATGGAAGGAATCAGGTACTTTACTCTCTCTTTTTTTTTCCCTTTGTACTTTAGGAAAAACTCTACCTCCTTTATCATCAATCTCATATTATAATATTTCTTTTTGAAAGAATATAATTATATTAACATTGGCTTGAATCATGTGTTAAGAGTCCAAATATCCTAATGAAATTGACTCCTCTGCATGTTTTGGTACAGTACAATACAGTATAAGAACTTGTTCTTTTATGTTTGTCGTTACATTAGACTAGAATAGGACAAGACTTGATTATGGGCCTGGTTGTTAGCAACTTAATGAGCTTAATGTGACCTCATAGTTTATTCGGTTATCTATTACATGACTGTTCGGTAGTGGCTTAATGATATACAAAGTGGCTTAATTCAATAAGCTTTTAGGAGGGAGCTTTATGCAGAAAGCCGAGTTTTTCTAAACCTGCCTCTCCCAATTAAAAATCACGCTCCTTTTATCTATGAAAAAACCCGTTCAAATAAAGTCTTCTTAATCTATACATACAGATTAATCCACACAGACAACTTTATTCATACATGACTTGATGAAAAAACCAACCAGACAACCCCTAAATAAATAGGTGGAACAGAAATCTGGAAAATGTAAATTACTAAATTACTCATGTCATATTAAAACGTTGAAGCCTTCCATAATCCAGTTTAGTCTTGTCTCATCCCATCTGCATACCAAAGAACTTTAGAGTTGAATTGGGAATATCGAAGTTCTTGAGTTTGAATTACGACCAGATGTGTCAACAGACATATGACAAAATCCTTATATAAATACTGAAAAATTCTAGAGGGCTTAGTTCACGAGAACCGTAGTTTCTCGAAAGTTTATTCCTTTCCCTTTCACATTCATTTCTCAACAAGTCGACAATCGAAAGGACTCCCAACTTTTCAAACTGCAATAAATCACTTTTTTATACCGTCTACGTTCAAGCAAATGATGTACCCCACGGAACAATTCCCATTTTTTATCTATTTCTTATCGTATACGAAATTTCCCACCACAAAGTTATATAAATACTCATCCTGGTGGTTTCCATTTGTATCACTCGGATTCACTTCAAGCATGACAATCGATTCTAGTCAAAAGAAGAGATCTTCATGTGAGAAGCTTATGCAAATGATGAAAAAGTTGCTCAAATTCTCTTCGTTCCCGTTACAAGTAAATGATGTTAGATCAAGTAGTTCTTATTCCACACCACGTAGGAATCACCCACCTGAGAAACACCAGAAACTGCCAAACAGCCGCCGGTCGGGTGGTTTAGATGGTGGAAGCTTCAAGATTCAGGGAAATGACCACCATGAAAGTGGAATAGCAGATGAGCCGAAGGCTTCATTCACAAAGCTTAAGAAACAACCCGAACACCAGAAACCGCCAAATGGCCGCCAGTTAGGCGGTTTAGATGGCGGAAACATCAAGATTCAGGGAAATGACCACCATGAAATTGGAAGAGGCGATGAGCTGAAGGCTTCAGTCACAAATCTTGAGGTTTCAGATTACATTAGGAGGTTCCATGAACGAAATCAACACGATTCTGTTCGGTTGGTGCTGCCGCCACCGCCGCCGCCACTGCCGCCACGTCTTCGATAAGACGGGTTTCTGGTGAAGTGTGTTTGTTTACTGGTTTTCATGAAATCAGTAGTTAAATTTATGAATATTATTGATTTCATTGTTGGGTTGGGAATATGAAAGAAAGGTGATTGAGCTATTTAACGAATATCTAGTTTGTGTATCAACAGTTTGAGTTCCAAATGTCCCGGTTGTTATCAGCTTAACGAATTTAATGAGACTTGCAGCTTTTATTCGTTCAACTATATATGCTTTTTTGACAGTGACTTAATGATATAGAAGGTGATAGTAATCAGTAAACTTATAAGGGGAGTTTTATGCAAAAACCTAAGTTTTCCTCCCAATTAAAAAACACACTCCTTCCATCTAAAAAAACTATCCAAACAAAAACATTCACAATCTATACAAATAGATTAATCCATACAGACAACTTTATTCATATAAGACTTAATGAGAAACCAATTAAACAATCCTAAAGTTACTGAAGATTTTCTTAACCATTCTTCAGAATGCAAATACACTTACCAATTCAAAAAAATATATACGTCATTAATGGATGTTTTCTCTTTGAACATATATTGATAAACTATTGCGTTTAAGAGATATATGATTTTCATTTCAAAAATATTCGACATGTTTTAGACCAAATTAAAGATTAAAGGGTTGTTTACTAAATACTCATTCGGTAAGCACTTACCTGTAAAATTCAATATCATCTTTTACTTACAGAGTAAGATTTTAGTCAACAAAAATAGCATCATATGCAACAATTTATCCGGTAAGCGTTAACCGTGGTAAGAGTCATTGTCTTCACTTACCGGGTAAGACTCTCGGTCGTTGTCTCGCTCTTACCGGGTAAGATTCTTGGTACTTCTCATATTCACCCAGTAAGGTAATGTAACTTGAAAAATACTTACCCACGTAAGCATTTGATAAACGGCCCCTAAGTACCAAAAGGTAATCCATTTTGTGGTATTTAGGTTATCGGTAATTTTTATTTTTTTTAAAGAAACTAACAGACATACGCTGCTAATCTTTGATCTCTTGACTTTAAAAACCAAAATTACAAGGGTTAAATCTAACCGATCATCGCCGACTTCAAAAAAGTCTCTTGAAATCAACCAAAAAGACCAAAAAATCTATTGAAATCAATCAAAAAATCGAAAAAGTTATTCGAAATCAACAAAAACACTAAAAAAATTCCTCGAAATCAACCAAAAAACTTTAAAAATCCCTCGAAACGTTGTAATTAGGTTAAAAACACGTCGGACGACTTTGCGGGCCTTTAGTCTACCTTAAAGGTGACCCCACTAGGTAAAATTTTTGGATCCGCCACTGCTTGAACTGTTTGCGAGTTATATCGTATGAAAGTATTATATACTAAAAATAAAAAATAAAATAAAAAAAGTTAAAGATAAAAGAGAGTCATATCAAGACATGAATATTAATTTTAAATGATTATATAAACACCATGAATCGTAATAACACCCAAAAAAAAAAAGTTATAAAAAGCCAATGATTGAAGTCTATGTAATCCGAGTGGAATTTTTTCTCTCTCGATGAGTTGGATGTGTTGCATTGGCGGATGTTGGGGGTTAATTCACACCTTATAAAATACTAGAAGCGTACCCGTATAATACAATGAGATACATCTCGATTTTAATGTTTTTTTTTCTTTTGACTCAGTCGATGTTATAATACAGTTTTTTGTGATTAGTAGAAAACGATAATGTTTTTATTTTAAAATAAAATATAAATATGAAGATTATCATAAAAATTGAAAAAACAATATTGATATTAATACCAAACTAACTATTTAAAATTTCTTATTTTTTTGTATTTTTTAATTCTTCTTTTATTTTTTATTTAATAATATAATTTTTATAAAGATAATAATTAAGTATTCTGTTAGAAGTAAAACGGTTATCTTAATTATATTTTAGATTTTTTATATTTAAAATGACATATTTTTCCGTTATTTGATTATGTTTATCTGCGATTAGTTACACGAATTCAAACATGAAAGCTTTATGAAGTTGTACTTACGCACACTTTATTTGTAATTTTGAATTTTAAGTAATATGCATCAATAAATAATACTTCATGTATAATAAATGGTTTTTAAGAGTTTTTGTCAAATGTTTTATAATGTAGTATAGATTATAATTTTTATAAGAGTAAATTACATTCTTGGTCCTTGTAGTTTGTTGGTTTTTCCTATTACGATCCCTCAACGTGTTTATTATATCGTCCGTCCTTGTGGTATGCAAAAGCACACGCTACGAGTCCTGTCCTCTAACGGAAAATCGTTAACACAATTAACTCAAGGGCCATTTTCGTCTTTTACCTTCTTTTTTTCTATTTTGTTTTATTATATTATATTTGTTATATGAGTTAAATGCATGAAATAGCCACATACTTTCATAAAATTTCTTATTATAGCATTATACTTTTGTTTTTCTTTATTATAACAATGTACTTTCAAATTATTTTTTATTAAGACATCGTACTTTAAACAATCTACCCATAATAGCAATGGGTAACTTGTTATCTTTTAAACCGGTTAACACGTTGACTTTTTTTTGCTTGTGTAGCTTTAATGAGGTAATGTGGATGACACATCATTTTAATAACTTAACTAAAATAAAAATAAAAACTTATTTCAAATTATTATTAGTGATTTTCATTTTTCATTGTTATGATCTAAAAAAACATTTAATCTTTTTTGACTTTTTCTTATTAAGTTGCATGCAAATTAAATATTCTAGAGTAAAATATTTCTTAAATAAATATGAAACATTATTTTCGAAATATATTTTATTTGTAAAAAAGGTAATCCTTCTTATTTTATGTTGTTCAAACAAATATATATTTTTTAAAGTTTTCTTTAAAATATTAACGAAATAAATTGTGATCTACAATTTTTTATATTGTTATATTAATAAATAATTCAAGAAAATCTAATTGATTTAATATATTTATACGTCAAGTAAAAGTTTTTTGAACAAATATAATATATTTTTTAAAAGATAATTTTTTTTGGTAAAAAAGATTCAATTCTTATTTTCTTTTTTCAAAAAACACATATTTAAAAAAAAATAGAAAGATAAGTTATGTTTTACTAGTTTTATTGTTACTGGTATATTAATGAATAATTTAGAATTTTTTAATTCATTTAATATATTTATTAAATAACATGTAAAATATCTAAATATCAAAATTAAAAATACGGTGTTTAATAAGAACTAGTAGATACTATAATAAAATAATTTTGAAAGTATAATGTAGTAAGAAAGTTACATCACTATAGTACATGTGGACAGTCTACGTGGACAATGAGGTGGCATGAAAACATGGTATAATGGGTAAATTTAAATCAAAAGTTTACCCAATGCTATAATGGATAAAAAATTTCAAAGTATAATGTCCTAATAAAAAAATAGTTTGAAAGTGCATTGTTGTAATAAGAAAAATTGAAAGTTCAATGCTATAATAAAGAAATTTATGAAAATATATTGTTATTTTGTGCATTTTACCCTTTTTTTTATTATAACTTTCACTTGGGCCTATAAAATCCAAGTCCAATACCTCTAACTTCTGATGATAAAATAGAAAAATCCAACCATAAGGGTGGTGCCTGATTGGTTTGAGCTTGGCTTCAAAGATCAAAAGTATCAGGAGGTCTCAGGTTCAAATCCAAGGAGAAATAAAAATCCCCTTGTGGCCACAAAGGTTCAAATGCGATGACTCCGGACGATCTGCAAAGTAGGTGGTCACCCTGGGATTAGTCGGCTCGCATAGCGGGTTGGATATCCAGGTTAATAAAAAAAAAAGGAAAAATCTGAAAATTAAGAGTAACATTATCTCTAATCTTGACATTAGAAAAATATCAAGTTTGATAGTTCATTGACATTAAAAAAATCTATCAATTCAAACCACACTAAAAAAAATACCAAATTATTGTTAAAAATGAATATTAAAAAATCATTTTTTAATAAAATAATAATTGTTATATATTAGTATAGGTAAGAATAATTTTTATGTATATTAATTTGAATAAAATATATATAATAATTGAATTAGCAGTGGGAACATATAATTGCTGTTGACAATCAAACATTGCAAATATGCAGTTTCAAAAACTTGGCCTGCATGAATTTTTGCCATTTTACTGGATGATTGGAGCACTCCAGCCTTCCAGTCCATTGGAAGCCTCTAAGAAAAAGGCATCTTTCATTTCACAACACATATACATACATACATATACACACACACACACATATATATATATATATATATATAACACATATACATACATACATATACACACACATATATATATATATATATATATATATATATATATATATATAAACCATGTCAAAAACAAGAAACGATAAAGCATGCGAATCTTTCAAATATATAACGACCCCCTGCTAAGTAATCTTTTAATAAATTAACATCCCATTCCTAAACTAATCCAAACTTAATTTATACTAAAATAAATCCCTCCCTCCCTCCCTCCCTCCCTCCCCTTAATTTACAAATACAAATCAACACACTCCCAAGTTATTCATCATTATAACATTTTAATCATAATCATATATATATATATATATATATATATATATATATATGTTCATGCAACACTAATAATGCTATCCCCATTGCTGCTATTAAAGTTACCCGATATTTCTTGAAAATTGGTCAGCGTGTGTCTTGCAGTTGACGATGACGATGATGATGATTGTTGGTCAGAAGATGTTGAGGTCGAGAGGTTTAGCGTTAAGGGTAATGGTGGTTGATGATCATCTGCGGCGCTTAGATTGAGTTTCGCCATTTTCATAGATGGGGGTATGGGGGGGATTGGAGGCATGGGATTTCCCGAGCTCTTGCTAATTGCTGCTTTACGTCCAAGTGTCAGGCTCTCTATCGGGATATTATGATCTCCATTGCCGCTGAGTTGTAGCCTGCCTGCCGGAAAAGTTGATGAGATTGGATATTTTTCCAACTCATGTTTTAGACTTGGTGGTGGTGGCCGCGGCTTTTGATCATCATCCATTGACGAATTCATGTACTGCATCATCCAAATCCAGTAGTAAATATCAATTAATTAGTGTCTGTATATACGAGCAAAAGATATACACAAGAACAAACAATCACCTAAAAAAATATATCAAAATAGATGTAAAATTAAAGATAATAAAATGATCGTTTTTTTATCTTCATCTTTTATTCCAATTGTTTTTGTATTTCCTTGATTTTCGATTTAATATTTGTAGTTTTTAAGAAACATGGTTATAACCACTTTTTAATCACATTCGTTGGATCATCTCAATTCAATGATTTGGATGGGTTCTTAGGTTCTTTCTTTTTTCAAGGTTCTCTCCCGGTCGCTATATATATATATAGAGAGAGAGAGTGAGAGTGAGAGTGAGAGTGAGAGTGAGAAGATTGGGTTGGGTTTAAATAAGAATGGAATTTATGGGGAGAATGGTGAGAAAAGATTTCCACCATTGAATCAATCCTAATTGAAGATCAACTGTAATGAGATGCATCGGATCAATGCCGTTGGGAAGCGTAATTCGTGGGTGAGGGTGAGATTAAACGTGATTAAGCGTCCAAATCTCTTTTTAAGTTTTTCACCTTAACTCTTATTCTCACACGATCCTTCATCTAGGGATCTTATTTTGAGAACACATAAAATTGTGATAACCTTGAGAACTTGTGAATCATGTATAATATAATATGATTTTTTTTCATCTAATACTAGAATTTAAAATAATTGAGTAACATGTTTTTGTTTCACAAATGATTTTGTTTCACATGTACTCGGTTCACAATATGAACCTTTTTAACATGTTTGTGAAAAAAAAATTAACGTAAAAAAGTATCACGTTGTGAACCGAATACATATGAAACAAACACAATGTGAAACAAATATATATTAATCAACACATTAAATACCATGCTTAGACGGAAAAAATCATGTAAAGTAAAACCTTAAGGTAGAAAATCTCACGGATCTCACAAATTTTAAATTCTCAAATGATTAAGCTTCTATATAAATAGTGAGAGAGAGAGAGAGAGAGAGAGAGAGAGGAGGAGGTTTCAAATACAAATGATATAACTCTTGCAAACTATATCTTAATCATCCATCTACTCTAACAAAAAACTAGTTCATAAATATCTCAATTGTTTTCTAATTAGTAGTAGATTTGCGTTTTTAATTTATGAGCTTTCTAATGTATTTCTAATACAAATGCAGACAACTATCATTTTAATCAAGTATAAATTTTAATATGTCATTTTATTTCATATATTTTGTATTTGTTTAATCTAAGTAAATAGTATATAATAAAGACAAAGCAAGATCTATATTTGAACGTGTGGATTAGAAGTTAATTGTATAGAAAGATATTTGTCAGCGGAAAAACAAAATTCATTGTTAGACAAAAAATATATATATCTTGCATAATTTACAATATAAACAATATATAGTTGTATAAAATTTGAGAAAAAAAGGTTGATTACCAATAAAATCCAACCGACCCCACATGGAAACCGTCCCTAGGAACCATATATGAGAAAGCATTTCAAGCTGATTCATTGACGGAGACTGGTAGAGGGGTTCAAATTTTTACCAAAAACTCTCTTTCAAGGACCGAACAGCTGAGAGTGAGATAAGCGGTTGTAAGAATTGTGGAAGGTTTTGACTTTTGAAATTTTAATTTGACATAGATAGTTTGGTAATCTACTAGTCTTATCCTATCTCCATATGTCTTGGGGGAACAAAATAATTTAACTTTGTCCCACTCGGTCCCACCTCACCCAATCTAATTTGCATCAATCAGAAGCCATTAAGTTTTTGTTATGTTATAGTATGTTCTATAACACGATAAGAGATTGAAAATTTGTGTGGAGGAGCTCCATTCACATAAGTAGTTGGGGGAAGTGATGATCTTTGTTGTCCAAAAGAATCCATCCATCCATCCATGTCAACTTTTAAGACAAGTGATAATAACCAATCATTTCATATTTTGTAAGATATGAAATTAGGGGAATCCCAATTATATAAAATCATAACCTTAAGGTCAAGACCATTAAAATTCTTTTTTTAAACGTACATTTTTCGGTCCTTTTATATGTACCGACTAATCTTCTGAACGATCACAATGGTCTGGAATCGTTGCAAGTAAGCCTCCATCGCCACAAGGGCTTAAAGACTTTAACAGCGCCTCACTATTCAAACTAGAGAAAATGAGAATTCCACTACGTCTCCCAAAACCTTAACAAGTGCACCACTATCCGTGTGTTTTACCATTAAAAATCTTAAAACAATATAGTAATTAAATTTTATTTTTAGTTAATCGATGTACTTATAAAGAACATAACAATAGTCAAAAGAAATTAACAGAAAATCACTTTCTTAGACTATCAAAGGTTTTTGCATTTAAGCAAATTCAAAACAAAGTAAATAGTATATATGCTGTACCAATTGCAAATCACTTGTTGCTTTTTAATTATTCTTTTAATTTTCTCAAGAATCGTAATCATCATAAATTCAATTGTTATGTCAACATCATGTGCTAATTTAATTTTATTAAACAATTAATGATACTAATTAATTCCACCAGATAACTTAATTTTGGTACTAAGTTTCTATTAAGAGATGAATGAGTCAGGATATGTTCTTAAAATATAAATTATTTAGTTTTATTTAATAATAAATTATTTTAAGGTTCCGCCACATGATTCGCTGGGTTGCTTAATTCTAAAGCAGTTAGTTACTTAATTCAAGTGTAAAGATCTAGTAAACGCATAATAAATGATTTTTCTGAACATTTGATGGATTAGATGATTTATATAGGGGAGTGTTAAGTGTTTGGAAATTGTGTTTTCCTTATATTTAATTATTATTATTATTTAATATATATATATATATATATATATATTAATTAAGTTATATTATATAATTATATAAATACT